TTTTTTCTTCTTTTTTGCAGTATTTCCTTTGATTTTATTATTATGTTAAATATTATCAATAGAGGGCGCCGTTTAACTTTTTGTCAATAATTTCAATGTTTAACATTTTCAATGAATTTAATAACAAATATCTACTAGAAATGTTCACTGATCGTGGTCAGTGCTGGTATTAATTAGGGCAAAACCATAAAGGAAAAAGGGAGGGATGTGCAGTCATGATTTCTGGCAATTTAACTAATCTAATCAGGTTGTGATTGGTAAATTTTGTTGATAAATAAATTAAAATTATGATGTTGATTTTGTGAATAATATAAGGGATAGGTCATTCAACATATAACAGCATGAATATCTTCACCAATTTTGTCGATGAGAGGGAGAATAATCCTATATTATTTTCCTAATTATTACTGTGATATTCGTTCGTATTGATCTGCCCCACCTACAGTGTATGTAATGATATTCCCCACTCTATGCTATGATCTGCCTGCCCTTACATATACAGGGCAAGCCATATGTAGTTGAACTATGTTTCAAATAAGGAAGATATTCGTATGTATTCAATACGTTATAGAACACATCTGTATAACATTTGTAATTTCTATTGTCCCCACTGCCAGTTTTATGATTTTATAATTTATACTATTATAAAATTAAGTCTTTGAAGAAAAGTGTGTAATTTGCATCTATTCAAATCAGCAGGGATCATGTGACTTTGTACATCTGAAGTCAACATATTTAGCGTTCTAGAATATGTAATGCAGCATGCTGAATTCATTATTACCCAGTAGTACTTTTGTTTCAGATTTGTAAAAAGTTGTGGCAGTGAGTTGATAACTCTTAGGTTGGCTTGTTGTCAGTTTTTAAATGAAGCTTGTATTAAATCCATAGCAGACTATTGTCCATTGCTGCAAGGTATGTTAATTGGGTAGATTGCTATCTCATTATCCCTAGAGTAAAAACAATTTTTATCTGTTGTTCTGTCTGTCAAGCATTTTGTTTTGTATGGCCGCTTTTATCTTCATGAGAAATACTATGAGTTAATAAATATTATTATACATCTGTCACCATAACGCCATTAGTTACAGTGTGCCGTAATTTTGCGGTATTTTACGGGGCATTTTTTCATCCTACCATATCAGGGAATGCAAATTCCAAATTTGGAATGATTACGCACGTAAGCGTCCTCTGATAATAAAAACAAACATGGCTGCCCTAGGGTTTGACCAGACCCCACACAAGGAAGTTTGCTAAATATGTTCTAAACATTTTGAATTTTGACATTCCTATGATGTATTCCTGGGAGAAACAGATGTATAATAGTAAGGTTACTGTAAAATGACTAATTTTCACTGGGTTTAAATTTCACTGATTACCATTTCAGGCATATGCAGTGGGTTTTAAATTCACGGTTTCGTCATTTAGATAATGTGTTCTATGCTAAATTTTACTAATTCACTGGGTTTTAATTTAGCGCATTTTTCAGTCAGCGAAATAAGCTAAATTAAAACCCAGTGAATAATTACCCCCTTTACAGTATTATGAGGATACTCTAATATGCACTCATACAGTACGCGGTGGCATCAGCTGTGCGTCGGTCATTACTCCCACTGTACTGTCTTTGCGCATACTTTTCAGTATCCTTGTAATATCCTCATATTATCAGTAGTATTATTCATTTCAAACCACAGATTCCACTGTAGTTGATTATGGATGAAATACTTATTTGTTTAAAATAATTAATTAATAATTACATATATTACATTCATGAATAATTAATTACATTATTGGCTTCATGAATAATTAATTACTATATTGCTTTCATGAATAATTAATTACTATGTTACCCTCATGAATAATTAATTACTATATTGACTTAATGAATAATTAATTACTATAATATTGTCGTCATGGATAATTAATAAATATATTGCCTTCATGAATATGTTATTACATGTATGGAATATATTAAATGTTTTGAACATTAAGAATATTTCCAACCATTTCATTTTTTTATCTATTTTATGTTACAGAATTAAATTTACAGTCTTGCACTTACTTAAGCAATGATGCATTGCGACATATAAGAAGACTAACTCATTTACATACATTGAATCTCTATAGAAGTTCCATTGGTGACCCAACGTTAATAAATATTCTAAGGTAATACTCACTACACTACACTATATTGTACCTATACATAATGTATACATTACTGTTCCAAACATTTTATATTATACCATACATTTATAGCTAGTATGTATATATAATAATCTAATTCCATGTAAATCTTTACAATTGGGCACAGAAATGAATCTAGCAAGCTGCTTTTCTGTAAATTGATGAACACATTTAACACTGTCAAAACAATGATTGATTTCATAGAATATATATAGAAAATAGTAGTAGATAATTGTAATCTATGTTAATTATCCAATTTGATTTCCTCCCTACCATTTTCACATAGTAAATTATCCTACATCAATGTGTCTTAATCTCTGCAGTAATTTACCTGATCTGGAACACCTCAATCTTGGTTCATGTGTTAATTTGACAAGTTTGGATAATGTGGTGACAGAACTTTGTGGTAATTGGAAGTAAGTTCTTACTTTATATATATCTATATATTGTTATTCCTGACTCTCATGAAGCATTTACAGAGGTTGACCTTAGTCATCTTAATGAAATAATGTGTCACTTGTCTGTTTATAAGACGTGATTCCAAAGTGATGTGTCACTATGTTCTATGTTCTAAGGAAATAGTAGAAATAAATTATTGATTTAAACTATTGTATTTATTTCAGAAAATTGAGATCATTGGATTTATGGAGAGCAAAGACAATATCACATATAGGCTTGAGAGCTTTGGCTAACAACTGTCCACGGTTAGCTGAACTGGATCTAGGATGGTGGTAAGCATACATGTATATCATACCATTGTTGTCTGCATGATGGCAAATGTTTGTTTTAAGTAAAATTATAAGTTCACCATCCTCATTTTGCTTATAACAACTTTTTACTTTTAATTATCTGTATCATCGTATATAAAGTTTAAGGCATATGCAGGGGTAAATGTCTGTTCTTGTTGTTGTTGTCGTCGTTGACTCCATCATAAAACTTTTTCTTGAGGTTACAGTTTTTATCCAATTTCTCTCAAACTATATTAACCTGTTTGGGGACTCAGTCGAGTTCGATTTTAGTTCAAGTTCTATGTATATTTTTCAAGATATTGGTTAAATTTCATCTAAATTTTTCTTCTTCTTGTGGTTACAATAACTCAAACAATTTTATCTGATCATTTTAAATATTGAGAATCACTATGAAATGTCAAGTATGTTCTATTTTGATCTGAATAGCAAGTGCAATTTTCAAAATATAGGATAGAATTTGGCTGAAATAAAACATTTGTAGAATTAAGTGAATTGAATTGAAGCATATTGTATGACTATGTTTCTTTATGTTCTAATATACAAGATGTAACATCAGTGCACAATTTTGTATGTTCTAATGTACCCTGAAACATCACATGTGATATCAGAATCTAAAACTGCCTCTTAATGACCTGCCCCAGGCTTGTCAATTTCAAAATTAGCAGAACATTGTGCATTAATCAATCAGGGATCGTTAATTTTGGCAAATCAACAATGACTTTATTTATTCAATCATAATTGAGTTTAAGCTTTTCTTGCCACTATCTGAAGGTCATATTAATCCGTGTAAAATCTATGTATTGTTGTCTGCATGTAATAAACGTTGATGCTGTTTTACATTCTACTGGTCGTACCTATTTTTAGAGACTATATGTGATGCACTATAGCATATCATAAAAATGAAAAAAGTGTAATGAACAATGCTGTGATAATGTTGAACCTAACATACTGTAGAATACTTTATTTTCGCTTGGAATTTATTTTCGCTATTTTCGCTGAAGGGATGATTTCGTGAAAATAAAATCCAGCGAATATACTTGTTTTCCTATATTTCACATTAAACTCATCAAAAATCAGTGAAAATAAATTCCATACAAAATGCCCAAAAAGCCTTTTCAGCAAAAATTAATTCCAGCAAAAATAAAGTATTCCACAGTACTGCATATTAATTAATTGTCTTACAATCTTCTAGATGAGTGCTTCATTACTTGTATAAATCTCACATGTTGTGTTTTATTTGTTGATATCCACAGCAGTGAAATCAACTCCAATACTCAGTGTTTTATTCATCTGGTACAGAACTGCACAGAACTCAGAAAACTATTTCTCACTGCCAACAGGTAAGTTTATATGCACAGAACTCACAAAACTATTTCTCACGGCCAGCAGGTAAGTTTACAAGCCGGTAGGCTGGTTGGCGATCCGCTCCGATCAAAAACAAATAACATGTTTTTGGCTGTTTCCATGGTGGGATATAAACGTGAAGCTAACGTCAGTTTATAACTAAATGGGCCCGTATACGAAGTTTGCAAAAACCATTCAGTCTTTAGAAGTCTCTTAGTTTATTACTAGGACGTATTCTGCCGTTACATTTATTATTTCCAACCGTTTTGCGATAGTATTTTCTAGAATGAAGACAGCATTTACAGTTCATTCTTAACTTAACACCTGACCATGGGGTTCATCTGCCTCACCCCATTGCCAGTCTTTTGTTCAATGTTATGTTTTAATTACATTTGTATCACCCTCATACTTATAATAATCCTCTTTCTGCATTACACATCCAGTCCTTTGTTTCATAGCCATGCTTTGTTATTAAGTACA